AAGCAAACCTCAAAAAGTCAAAAACATCAAAATACTACAAAGCATTGTCTCAGGTCATAATGCTATAAAATTAGTAATCAAGAATAGGAAGATCATGGAGAACAAACTAACATGGAAATGAAATAACACCCTCCTTAAAAGCTACTGGTAATAGGATAAATAAAAATGGAAGATAAAAACAAAAACCCTAGAATTGAATGAGAATGAAAACACAACACTGATAACCAGCAAAAGTGGTGCTCAGAATGCAACTTATAGCAATAAATGTATACATCTAAAATGATGAAAGAAATAAAATCAATACCTTAACTCAACAGCTGTAACAATTAGGAAAAGAGCAGCAAAGTAAGCCTACAACCAACAGAAGAAATAATAAAGGTTAGAACAGAAATAAATAAAACATAAAACACAAAAACAACAGAAAGAATTAACAAGAAGTTGGTTATTTGAAAGAATCAATAAAATTGACAAACCATTGGCAAATCTAATAAAAGAAAAGGAGACTATGCACATAACATGAATAAGAAATGATATGCGTGATATCACAACTGAACCAACAGAAATAAAAAGGATAATAACACAATATTGTACAGAATTGTATTCCAACAAATTTGAAAATCTAGAGGAAATGGACAAATTTCTAGAAGCTCATGACTTACCTAAACTAACACAGACTGAAGTAGAAAACTTGAATAGACCTATAACAAAAGAAGAAATTGTGAAGTCATTAAAAGACTCCCAACTGAAAAAATTCCAGATCCAGACGACTTTACTAGTGAATTCTACCAAATATTCAGAGAGGAGCTGACGCAAATTCTACCTAAACTATTCCAGAATACAGAAAAGGAAGGAAAATCCCAAATTCATTTTATGAAGCAAGCATAACCCTGATAGAAAAATTATGCAAAAATATCACTAAAAAAAAAAAAAATTATAGACCAATATTCTCATGAACATAGATGCAAAAATTCTCAGCAAAACCTAACCAATATTTTTCAGTAACATATAAAAATTAAAATATGTCATGACCAAGTGGTATTATATCAGGTATACAAGGATGGTTCAATATTAGAAAAACAATCAGTGCAATTCACCATATAATATAAATCAAAGGATTGAAACCCACATGGTCGCATCAATTGATGCAGAAAAGCATTTGACAAAATCCAACCCCCATTCCTGATTAAAAACACTCAATAAAACAGGAATACAAGGGAAATATCTCAACATAATTAAGGACACAGATACAAAACCAAGAGTCAATATCACCATGAGCAGATAGAAACTGAAAGAATTCCCTTTATGAACAGGAACCAGACAAGGATGCCGTTTATCAGCATTCCTAATCAACACTGTGTTAGAAGTCTTAGAGCTATTCAGCAAGAAAGGGAAATTAAAGGCATACAGATTAGCAAAGAAGAAGTAAAAGTTGATCTGCAGATGATATGTTCCTATACTTAGAAAATCCCAAAGACTCAACAAGAAAATTATTGGAAGTCATTGAAAGATTGAGCAAGTGGCAGGGTACAAGATCAATATCCAAAAATCAGTTGTATTCCCTTAAGTCTAATAAAGACATCTCTGAAAGGGAAATCAGGAAAAATACCATTTACAACAGCCACCCAAGAGATGAAATACTTAGGAATAAATTTAACCAGAGAAACAAAAGACCTATGCAAAGAAAACTTCAAAACACAAGAAACCAAAAGAGATTTACAAAAATAGAAGAATATACCATATTTAGGAAAGGAAGATTTAACATTGTGAAAATATCAGTACTACCCAGGGCAATTTATAGATACAATGTAATCCCAATTCAGTTCTAACATCATTCTTTAAAGAGATGGAAAAACGAATCACTAACTTTATCTGGAAAGGTAAGAGACCTAAGATAAGCAAAGAATTACTAAAGAAGAAGAAAGTAGGAGGCCTCTCACTTCCCAATCTCAAAACCTACTACACAATCACAGTCGTCAAAACAGCCTGGTACTAGTGCAATGAAGGGCATAGAGATCATGGAACAGAATTGAGAACCCAAAGTAAATCCATTCATATATGATCAGTTGATCTTTGACAAAGGTTTAAAACACGTTGCATGGGGAAAAGATAGTCTCTCTAACAAATGGTGTTGGCAAAACTGGAAACCCATTTGCAGAAGAATGAAACACGATCTATACCTCACACCATATACAAAAATGAACTCAATGTGGATTAAAGACCAAAATGAAAATCAATATCATCAATGAAAAAAACAATATCAATATCATCAATGAAAAAAAATCAAAAAAATCAATAAAATCAATATCAACAATGAAAAAAACAGAGGCAAACTTTATACACTATCAAACATAACAGACAATACAGAAACAACAGAATACAAAATAGATGACTGGGACCTGCTGAAAATTAGATACTATGTGCATCTAAAGATTTCACCATTAAGAGTTTAAAAAGAGAATCCACAGACTTGGAAAAAAGTTTTCTGGTAATGACATATCAGATAAGAGATTATTCTCTAAGATTCATATCAACACTTCAACAAAAAGAAGACAAATAATCCAATTAAAATATGGACAAAAGACATGAGCAGACACTTTACTAAAGAAAACATTCAGGTGGCCAACAAACATATGAAGAAATGCTAAAGATCATTAGTCATTAGAGAGATGCAAATCAAAACAATAATAAGATATCATCTCACCCAACATTGATAACAAATTTAAAAAACAGAAAACAGCAAGTGCTAGTAAAGGTGTGGAGAGACTGAGACCATCATACACTCCTGGTATAACTTTAAAATGGTGTAACTACTATAGAAAATGGTATGGGTGCTTCCTCAAAAAATCTGAAATAGAAAGACAGCATGATCCAGCCACGCCTCTACTTGGCATATATCTTAAAGAAATGAGAACTACGATACTAATGATACATGTACATTCATGTTCATTGGATAACTATACACAATAGCAAAAAGGAGACAGACTAAATGTCCATCAACAGAAGAATGATTCAAAAACTTTGGTACATACACACAATGGTATACTATGCAACACTGAAGAGCAGAGATGAATCTGTGGAACACTTCATAACATGAATGAACTAGAAAACATTATATTGAGTGAAATGAGTCAATCACAAAAGGACAAATATTGCATGCGACCACTGTTGTAAAAAGTTAAGAAAAGGTTTTCTGCTAAAAGAAACATTCTATTATAGTGACCAGGGAGTGGGAGAAAAAGGAAAATTATTCACTAGGATAGAGTGAAAACACATGTTAACTTGGGTGATAGGGAAGGCAATATACAACAAGAGGAAGGTTGGCAGAGAAAAGAAGAAGGTAGGAGTGCAGGAGTTAAGGTAAATACTGTTAACTGATAATATATGGAAGGGATGCAATCATTGTAATGATGCCAAATGTATGACTTGTTGATGAAGGACTAATGATATGTTCTACAAACCTTCACTCAATTCACAATAAAAAAAAGTTTTAAAAAATAAGTAATTACTAGTTACAAGACACACACTAAACGAAGAAGGTAATAAACCTTGTTTATTAAAGACTTTCTAAAATACTAAATTTTACCCAAAGGCAATATTCAGATTACATATCCTCATAGAAGCTATTCCTAATGGACACTTTTAAAAGAAAACTAATAGGAGCCTTGGTGGATAAGTGGTTCAGTGCTCAGATGCGAAACAAAAAGTTGTTCTTGTTAAGTGCTGTGAAGTCGGTTCCGACTCATAGTGACCCTGTATAGGATTTCCAAGGAGTGGCTGGTAAGTTTGAACTGCTGACCTTGTTGTTCAAACTGACCTTGTGGTCCAGAGCATTATCCCACAGCATCAAGGGAGTTTGAATCTACCAGACATTCTGTGGGAGAAAAATGAGGCAGTTTGCTTCTGTAAAGATTTACAGCCTTGGAAACCCTCCAGGGCAGTTCTACTCTGTCCTATGGAATTGACAGGAATTGGAATTCGCTTGATGGCAATGGATTTGGCTTTTTCAGTTTAACTTTATAACAAAGTGCACTAGAGAATGAGATAAAGCATTTGTGTGCTCATATCCCCTGCATCCCCTCCCACTCCTTTCTGAAAACTAGTTCTCAAACCCAGACATTGTTTGATACACATCCTGGAGGGTGCCTTCTCTAGCAACCAGCACATAAAGGGTACAGTAGATTCATTTAGGAATATGATGTACCATATTTGGCAGGAAGATACTGAAGAGGTGGAAATACAATTAAAATGAACACATTGGGCAGAATGAAGCTTATAGATACACGGAGAAACCTAAAAACAGTGAAGGAACATCCTTATACAAAGTAGTTCTAAGAGTACTTTCTAAAGACTAGGTCTAAGTAGTCAATTGACTCTAATAAAATACTATAATTCCATTGTGAGCTAAATCGTAAAACCATGTAGTGGTTTCTTGAAACTGAGAGTAAGCAAGGATGTTTATCCCTTAGTTGCCAGTAGCTCTTTGTGAAATTAAATAATCATCATTTTCATAGTTATGAAACTTAATTTTATGTCTTTCTGATATCTCCTTTCATATCAAAGTCCTCCAGTAGATATCTCATATTGTTACACAAAAGGAGTTTCTGCATGGTGTGGTGTAAACAGTTAATGTGCTTGGCTGCTAAGAAAAAAGGTTGGAGGTACCCATCTATCCAGAAGCACCTTAAAAGAAAGTCGGGTGATCTACTTCTGAAAATCAGCCACTGAAAGCCCTATGGAGCCCAGTTCAACACTGACATGCATGGAGTTACCATGAGTCCAAACTGATTCACTAGCAACTAGCTACTGGTTACCTAAAGCAAAACTGAAGCCAGTGATATTGAAATGATTTAACTGAAAACACCTTGTCCTGAATGGAAAAAACCCTGGGCAAAGCTTTAAAAATCATAGAAAAGTTGATGTATGCCAGATTTACTGATATAATTGGATATTTTTTACTGACACATTTATCCATGAGAAACATAAACAAATTAAAACATCACCTCTACAGCTTCCCAGGCCCATTTCCTGTACTTTGGATCATGAGTCAGTCGCCACATGTACATATAAGTCTCAACAACTTCTGGTCGTAGGATGTAGTATTTTTCATTTTGCCTTGTAGCAATTGCTTCAACACCACCATCAAATCTGAAAGCTTCTGGTCCCAGTTTCACATCTAAAGGACATGCAATGGATGACAGGGTTATTGTCCTAGACAACACTTAGCATCTATAACTTAAATGCAACTGGAGTACTTAAAACACTCTGGAGTGGTGCAAAAACTCATTTTAAGGAATAGCTATAAACTTCACAGAATTTATAATACTCAATATATATTTAAAACCTAGTCATCTAAAAGACCTGCCATTTTAAAAAAGAGTAACAAGCCTTTATTTCCTTTCATTTAACCACCATTTTTTGAGAATCCACCAAATCAGTGGTTGAGAATTATAAGCTGTAATGAAATTATAAACTGTAATAAAATGCCAGTTATAAGATGTAATGAAATGCTTCACCCTATTTCATAAGATGAGAGCTAGACTCATGATTTACTTCAGGGGGACATTGGGAAGATTAATAGTTTACAAGACACTAAGTTTTTTTTTTTTTGCACTAAGTCAGAAAACCTTGCTTGATGTCAATGAACCTAAATCAGGGTTCAATAAATTAGGCTAGCTTTATGCTTTATAGTCTAGACTTTTGTTTCTAGGTGAAGTCAGAACAAATGCTTTCCTGTGGAGAAATGGTGCCTTTTACAATAAAAATATTAATTTCTTTATGTTAGTCATTATCATCGAGCACAATGGATACTCTTTCAATGGCAGAGATAACAAAATTCTTTATTGAAAGCAAGTGGGGACAGATTGTAAATAAAGAACAACATATACTCACATGTGCGATTATAAGATTCATGACAGGTACGGGCAATTTCAGCCCCTAGTTCAAGATAATGCTGGGCTAGGCTTGAGGGTGCTCCATCAGCCCCAAGTGCAAACATGCCTCCAGCAAAGCAGGTCAGGTGTCCCATCTTGTGCTCTAGGAGACCGCCTTTCCACTCAGCGATGTAAGTCAGTCCCCCACTAGACTTGCGGATCAAGTGAGTCTCAATTGCCTGAAATATAATACTTATTTTTCAATATTTTGTAATTTTGTATTTATATTCAAATACTCTTCTCAAACTTATCTTATCATCTCTAATATACGTATTTTTAAAGAAGAATAAGACCAGGTCTCATAATTTTGAGTTTGATGCTGTTCTTGTTGTTGTTAAGTACCGTGGAATTGGTTCCGACCCACAGTGATCCTGTACAGAGTTTCTGAGGCTGTATATTTATAGGAGCAGAAAGCCTCATCTTTCTCCCGAGGAACAGCTGGTAGTTTCGAACTGCCGATCTTGAGGTTAACAGCCCGATTCTTAGCCACTACGCTACCAGAGTCCTTTTGATGTTGTTAGGGTAAGGGAAAAGGAGGAAAATAACAGGAAAATTACTGGACAGTGGAAAAGTGGCATTGGGAAAAGATCAATAAAACCATAAAATAGACCTCTAAATACAAAGAGCTGAGGAGCAGGATGTGGACAAGAGATACAATCTATATCCTTGTCAGGCAGGCAGGCTATAAACAAGATAAAAAAATACAGACAACCCCTATCTCCTTGTGTGTTGGAAACACAGCAAGGCTTATGAGCCCTCTTTCCTTATTCAACAACCCAGCAGGTGTTGTTAACCATCAACTACATATGAAACTCCTCATTAACCAGTTTTCAGTGCAGGTGCAAAACTGGTCATTATCACGTAAAAGTAGCTCTGTAGTGGAATCCCTCTTGAATCCTTAGATTCCATCATGGATGCCACATGCGTGAACAGCAGAGGGGGGGAAATTAGGTGACACAAGAGAGTGGAACTACACAAACAAGAAAACCTGCCTCTTTTTTGAAGGAAAGATGTCAGACTGTAAGCTTGGCACATATCCCCTGCAGGTATTCTTTCTCTTAATAAATCTATTTTATACTGTATGTCATGATTTTCTAGTCTTCTTTGGCTCGACTGAATAACAATGCTATAGAATCAATTTGATCTGAGATTTTGTTATTGTTTTTTTGTATTCTTGCTCTAGTCTATATTTGATTAGTTTGGGTAGTTAGAATTAATGTTGGGGGTCAGCCCAGTTGGTTTTGCTTGTTTCTGTGACCAAACAATCATAGTCATCATAATGTAAAAGCTGTACTCTTTCAAATACAGGCTACCAGAGCAGTGGTAAGAGTTGATTTAGTGAGTTTTCATGCCCTTGGTGTGGCGCTGTGGAATAAAGCGCAGGACCGCAAGGTTGGTTTGAACAACAAGGCCAGAGTTCAAACTCACCAACTGCTCCTTGGAAACCCTACCCAGGGTCACTATGAGTCAGAACTGATTTGATGGTACTTAACAACAACAACAAAAGGAAACATAACACAAAGCACAGACCCTCCCAATAATGAAGAACAGAGCATATATGTGGATAAAATTCAGGCTTGTGGTACAATTCTCCTTGAAAGGGAGTCACAAACTAGGAAATTGTCTTAGGCGTCAATGAGTAGTAGACAGAGTGGCAAAACAAACTGCTGTGAAGTCACACTGCTTGGCTTCCAATTCCAGCTCCAACACTCACTATGTATGAGCTATGTGAGTAATTTGCTTACAATGTCCCTAAATCTCAGTATCCTTACCCATATTCTGGGAACAATAGCATCTACTTAGCAACATTTTGTTTATAAAACAGTCAGCACTATGGCTGGTACTTGACAAATGTCATTTATTACCACCATTTCCATTACCATTATGTTAACATTTCAATCAAGTTCCTGCATAAGAATCCTATTAAAAGGCACATTAGTATACAACGGAAAAATAATTTTCAAAAAAGAGTAAAGATGTTTAAAACTTGAGGGAAATGATAATGTTTGTAAAAAAGTTTATAAAACACCTTTTATTCTTGTTTTAAGACTTAATATTTCAAACAAGATAGAGAAAATAAAGTCTAATATTTAAAAATATGAAGGGTATTTAGAGTTACTAATTTCCACTTGAACAACATTCCCCACTGCACTCTAATTACTCCACAGAAAGAAATGAGTTCTGACTGCGTCTATTGTTGTGAAGTGCCATCGAGGTGGGTCCTGCTCATAGCCACCCTGCCCAGGGTTTCTAAGGAGTGACCAGTAGGCCTGTACTTCCAACCTTTCTGTTAGCAGTCCAGTGCTTACGTAAACCCTATCCAGGGTTACTATGAGTTGGAACTGACTCACTGTCATGGAACCACTACAACTGTCGTCACCACCATCTACATATATATACACGTATATATGGGTATAGTTGTTAAGTGCTGTTGAGTTGGTTCTGACTCATAGCAACCCTGTATAGGGTTTCTTAGGATTAGCTGGTGAACTTGAACCACCAACTTTCCAGTTCAAACCAACCTTGCAGTTCAGCACATTAACCCACAGTGGCACACCAGAAATCTCTCTCTTTATGTATATAAAATGTGTTGTTATTAGTGCCATCCAGTCGGTTCCGACTCAGTACCCCTAAACCTGTATAGGGTTTACGAGGAGTAGCACAAACTGGCCTTGCAGTCCAGCTCATTATCCTGCAGCATAATATACCTGTTATGTTATTATTATGTGCTGTGGAGTCGTTATACACTATCCAAAAAGAAGAGGTTATTTTGGTAACATATTTGGGAACAATAGATACAGAAAAGAAGTTTTGACAAATAAAATGATTACACAGGCAGATGAAATCTTGCTTACTTCTATCAGAAATGAACAAATAATACCAAGAATGTAAGAAATAAATGAACATACTACTGTGCTCGTTAACTGTGGTTAACCTAATCTTATTGATGGTATAGTTATCACATTAATATTTCATTCTTATTTAATGCAATAGAACATTGCAGCTATTTGAACTTCTCACAGCCCAAACTGCAATCAAGTCCTTCAAGCAAATACATGTTCATCATCCAGGAAATTAGTCTTTCTACATGGCAAGAGTAATAGCTTTTGAGCAAGGACTAGAAAAACATTATTACCTTGTTATGGATCCTGAATAAAGGACTATATTACTTTTGGCATGATTCTGACCAAGTTGTTACCTCTCAAAACAAACTACAATGAAGTTCCAAGACATTCAAAGCCATGGATTTCCATGGCAACGGGAAAATGTAAATAAATACAAAGGAGGAAAAAACAGTCATTAGTGGTTCTACAGAAACTTTGTGCTATGCTTACAGAGAACTGACTGATTAGGAAATAAGAATACTATACATTTTGCTATTTCATCTTTTTACATTTTAAACATACTTTGACAAGGCTCTTAGAATCTCATATGTATATATATTTATTAGGAGCTCTGGTAGTGTAGTAGTTACGAAACAGGCTGCGAACCGCGAAGGTCAGCAGTTCGAAACTACTAGCTGTTCCGTGGGAGAAAGATGAGG